GCTTCGTCATGTGGACGGGTCCAGGCTTAAATTGAGGTAACGCTGCTAAATTCGACCTAAAATCGTAGCGTAGACCAGGCCTAAGGCATCTTTATACTGGTATAACTGTGTCCATCTTAGGGGCTGTACCAGTAGAATTGTTTCCGTAAAAATATCACCCCCTAGCTGAAACAGTTATACCAGTACAAAAATTGTATAGAGCAGGCCTGAAAGCCCGATCCTCATTAACTCTAAGGCCCACATTCGGCAGCACACTCACCTCGCACCACTGTCACTGCACGTGCTCCTAGGGCCCCTCAGATCCAGGAAGCCCCCTCATCTCCCCTGTGGTGGTGCCGGGAGGGGCTACCATCACATGTACGCCTCCTCCCCTGCTGCTGCCCCTCACTGTAGCCTCATTGGGGGTGGGGGATGGAGCTGCCCTTTGCCCACCATGGGGCAGGAGCGGTGACTGCAGGTGGGGGGGGCCCCCTGTGCTGGTGGAGGGTCCTGCCAGAATAGGGAAGTCCAAGGCGGAAGGACAGGGTCAGGGTCAGCCTGCCCTGACGCTAGTGGTTGGGGGGCACTAGGACCCTGCGGCGGCAGTTGATGCTGGGAGCCACATGGGACAGCCACCGGCTTGAGGCCTGGACGCTCTGAGGCCAGGGAGAGGTGTGCGGGGGCAGCAAGTGGGGATCAAGGGGACAGTCCCAGCCCCAAACATTGGTGGAACCGAGCCCCCAGGCCCTGAATATTGCTGGAGCCCAGGCACTACGGGCCCATATAACTCGCCGCCCCTGTCTAGAGCATAGAAGTGAATCTGGCCTAAAAGTCTGTAGTTATTGTCCATTCAAAAGAGAGTTTGCTAGATGGCAGAGACATGTCTTTGTAATCAGTAGTAGGTTTATATTTATAAACCTTGGTAAATAATTAGCTTTATGAAAAGTTACACTAAAACCAGAAGCAGCTGCTAAATTAGGAACATCACTCTGTACTACTATCTGAGGATTACCAAATCCCTTACAAATATCAATGTGTTATAGCCTGGTTCCACTCTGAAAAATAGGCTGTGCAAAAAGTGGCATCAAGGGACTCCAAGTCTATTGACTCTTGATGGTTTCCAGGTCAGGATTGCACAGTTTACAAATCAAGAGATTATTTTCCCTCAACTGATAGCCCTGCATATTCCACCTGGAATCTGAGAGGCAAACTTTCTCTCTTGGGCATCAGCACCAGTAATAAAGATTCTATAGGCCACATTAGACCCTCTCCTATCCTTGTGTAATTCCCTTGTTATCAACGGGTTTGCACAGGTGTAACTGTTTGGAATTTAGTAAACAATTCTGCTGCTGATTCACTGGAAGGAAAAGAATCTACACCACCTGTGTGAAGGAAGTGAAGCATTACTGTCTCCATTTTACAGCTGAGGAAACTGAGACACAGAGCTACTACAAGATATGACTGAGATCACGCAGGACATGTTTGTCCAAACTGGGAATGGAACCCAGATCCACCAGGTCCCAGCTTTGTGCACTGATCACAAAAAAACCCTCTTTTTTCGGGAATAACAATGAATGCAACATCTACGATAAGCACCATACTAAAATGAGGGGACCGCACACTATTTCCAGAGCTAAATTGGCCTTAGAAAGCAGGTTCTTTGTCAGCAGATAACTTTTTAAATACCACTGTGGTTCTGCTATGTCTAGCTTTCAAACCTGCCATAGTGAAACCACAGTATGGTGAAATGCTATTCCCTTTCAGAGTTTATTCAGCAGCAAGAGAAGGCCAAATGCAATAAAAGAGAATTACACAACAGTTCAGTCAACCTAAGGTCAAATTATGTCTACTGAAATCTCACTGTATTTAGGGACTGGCAAAGTAAGTCATTAATCCAATTAAGTAGACTTGCAGATAAATGACTCTTAAAACATATAATTGGATAAACTGGTTCTCTCTCAAAAATAACCTTTAATGAATTGACTTTGCTACTCTAACGCTTAGTTAATGGTTCTGAGCCTTTCCTATTGGGACATTGACCAGGACTACAGCGTCAAGTGGAACGGCAAGAGCATTAACCAAAATTGTAATCTCCTCAGCGTCAGTTTAGTTGCCATAGGGAGCAGTGGCAGATCTCATTTACCTGACACCCCTGGCCTTTCAACGTGTCCACTGCCTTTTTAATTGCTGGGTTCGGAGGCTCGCACACCTCTACCTGAGTCTTCACGTTGTGCTCAAAGTAGGGACCGATCAGAAAATAATTTTCACCCCATTCGTCAGTTGTAATTTTGGCTTTTGTCTGGATCACAGTGTAGATGCCACCAACTGTAAAAGAAAATCATAAGAGAGTATCATATTGAGATGGGTATAAGGTTCAAAATTCAGATCCAGGGTCAAAATCTACCTGGCAGTATGGGTCAGGTCCACCTCCAGTTTAATTACTTTTCGTATTCACAATTCTGGGTGAAATCCTGGCCCTAGTAGTGAAGTAAATGGGGGGTTTGCCATTAACTTCAGTAGGCCCACAATTTCATCCCCTGTATTTAAAAATGGGATGTTCTCATATCCAGACCTCATGTGATAATTAAATGTTAATCCCATAGCACTTTGCCTAAGAGTGGGAGAGTTAGCTAAATATCTTGGCTAAATATCAATTGGGTCATTATATGTGACCTCCCCAAAGTTCTTCTATATGGACACAGTATACTTTCCACCCTCAACTGTTATTATCTGTTACACACCAACTGCTTACTATTCTATTCTATCTGTTTTTTTAATGTCATGCCCACTTATGTGGAATCAGTGCATTGTGTTATTCTCATCCTTATATCTGGCTGTCCCCTATCTATAAAGCACACAACAAACATTTTGGATCTGCACATCCCTGGAAAGTTCAGATTGGGGGGATTCAAACACTATGGCTCAGGGCCATTCCTGTATTTTCTATGCCTAATCTAGTGGTTGGCTATAGGGTATATCTAAACTTTTTGCTTTGGCAGTTGTCATTTTTAAAGCTAATTCCTTGTGATGAGGATGCCTGAACATTGAGAATTGGACAGACAAACCCCAATTTATTACACACAAGCCACTAGAAAGCATCAGGCAGTAATGACTTTCAGCTGCTACTGACCTGAGCTGAATTTGAAATAATGTCTTTAAAGAAAAAGGCACTGTATTCCATCACTAACATAAAGAGCCCTTAATGTTTTAATTTCTATAACATCTTCCGCTGATCTCAATGTCTACAACACCTTTCAATGATATGTTACACATTATATACACAAATAACACTAGGGTGACCAGACAGCAACTGTGAAAAATCGGGACGGGGGTGGGGGGTAATAGGCTTCTATATAAGAAAAAGCCTCAAAAATCGGGACTGTCCCTATAAAATCGGGACATCTGGTCACCCTAAATAACACACAATACCACATTAGCAAGTAAATAACAAAGTTAACAGATCATTAGAATGAAAGGACTGAGAGACAGGAGTGCAGATCTTTTATGGGAGGGAATTCCACCATACCATGGACCAAGATGAACAGAAGCATAGTGTTTAGATGCAACAAAAGGAAAGGAAGGAGGAAGAACAGATAAATCAAAGTCTAGGTATAAACTACATGCCAGAGACCCGATTCACTACTGCATCAGTCCACTTTTACACTGGCTTAGCTTCACTGAATTAAATTGAAATAAGTCAACAGTGAATAAAGCCCAAGGGGCATACCCAGGAACCATATTTAACATATACGAGGGCGCTGAAGATTAGAGAGGTTTAACTAATTGCAACAAAATTAACCTAATAGGCACTATATGATTTTAACTGACCCAAATGCAGAAGCCAAATGAGCTACTAGAACTGTATTGTAATGCCCCGACTGTGCCATGAATTATTTGCTAAGGCTATAGATGTTTTATAAGGGCCCAATGCTGTGATTCTTTCTAAATATTAAGGGCCAGATTTTTAAAGGTATTTTACAAATCTGACCCTTCATTTACCAGGAAGCCAATGGGAGCTGAGGTTGCTCAGCACTTTGGAGGATTAGGTCCATGATCAATTAAAATGGATCAGCTGACATCTGCCACAAACCTTTTGCCAAATCTGATTTCCCTTCAGTACTGTTGAATTTAACATTTTTAAATTGTGCCCCTATAGAATGCATGTACAGCTGATGAACATATGAACAGGCCTCTGGGCATGCAAATCAATTAATTGGAAACTTTCAGACTGGAAATAAGCTGTACATTTTTATCAGTGAAGCTAATTAACGACTGCAACAGTTTACCAAGGGTACAGTGTTTCTCTATCACTTGCACATGTTAAATCAGCGTTGGATGTTTTTCTACAAGTTCTGTTCTAGGAATTATTTTGGGGAAGTTCTATGGCCTGTGTTATACTGGAGTTCAGACTAGATGGTCACGGTGGTCTGTTCTAGCCTGGGAATCTATGAATGTATGAAAAAGTATAGATACAATTATCTAGTTTGCATTTATAAGTTTTATGTGCACACTTAAAAGTTAGCCCCTACATTAAAATCCTGTTCTTTAAAAATAGCCCACCTTGTGAGGAGTGCAAACAAAGAAACATCTGAAAGACTGAAGATCCATAGAGTCATAACTAAAACAATAACATGTTATGGTGCTTAACAGCCATAGTGTTTAGGTCTTACAATAAAAACAATGCAGCTAAAATTTCATAAAATAAATATGAACAATTATTAAAATTGATCATAATGCAACAAAAGAAGAGTCTTTGCTCATGTTTAAAAATGTCGGTAGCAAATCTATAGCTCAGATGGTGAAGTTGCAGAAATAAAGATATAGCCAGCCCCAGTTCTTCCCTTACAAGTCATTAGGACCAGAAACCTAAGAAGCTGGCCTGTAGTCAGCAGTCGATATGATGATTGTTTAATTTGGATCAGGATTTAGGCAGATCCTGTGTGGTGGTGACACTGTGCAGCACAGGCTGGGTTCCTCAGTCTGCAAGCTGAGAGAGAGAGTACTGTAGCTGAGTAATTTGTCTAAACACAGGAGTTGCATCTCGAACTATACTGATATAGTTAAAGCAGTACAAATCCCAACTGTAGATTCAGTTATAAAAGTACTTTTGTTGATACTCCCATTCCCTTACAGGAATAAGGGTAAGTTATACTGATCTAAGGCACCTTTATCTGACCTCTGGTGTCCGTGCCTTGCGTGCTCTAACGATCCCCAGAATCTGTGTTGGCAGGGGCTTTTTGTTCCTGGTAGGTTCAACCATGCCGGATTGGTCTGTGGGGGAGGGGCCAGACAAAACAGACACCCTGGTCCTCCAGGTTGGGGTTAGGCACAGGGCTAACAACTCTGTCCAGTAAAAAACAAAATATGTTACAGAAACAGCAATGGCGAAATCAACCATTACTGTGTGAGATGGCCTTCAGGAGTCAATGACCTGTATGACTGCCAGTGGTGAAAGCCGAAAGGAAGCCACTGGCATGAAGACAAAAACCAAACTTGTTTTTTGGAATGAACAGACAATGTATGAAACAGGGAAGCTAGCTCAGGTCACAGCAGAGATGAGACGCTCCAGCTTACACATCCTGGGTGTCAGTGAGAGCAGATGGACGAGATCAAGAAGATTAACAGCAGCCTCGGGAGAAACTTTGCTGTATTCTGGATGGGATGATGGACACCATGAGGGTGTTGCCATCCTCTTGCCATCCCCAGAGTAGCAATAAGACGCACACCCAAAGGCAAGCGAAAACGAGGCCGCCCGAAAACAACATGGCGAAGAGCTGTGGAAGCTGAGCTGAAAAACCTGGGGCACAGTTGGGGAACCATTGAAAGACTTGTCAGAAACAGACAGGAGTGGAGCAGCTTCATTGCTGCCCTAAATGCCAGAGGTGTAATGGGAACATGATGATGATGATGAAGGCACCTTTATACCAGTATACCAGGCTCTATTCTAGGAGTTGTACTGGTATAACTATTTTATTAAAAAGATTGTACGCGTAACCAAAATAGTTACACTAGTGCAAAACCTGGGTGTAGACTAGGTCTCAAGGAGTGACCCAACTGCCATTGACTTTAGTGGTGCAAGACTGGCCCCGATTATCCAGCAGCCTCAGCAAAGAAGCTGTTTTCTGTTTCCTACACCTGAGTCCTGTTTCTTCTCTGTGGCAAAGGACCCAGTCTCGGGATCAGCATTATACTTTGGGAAGCAACCACTTAAAGGGCTACAGGGAGACATTTTCAAAAGGTAGGAATGGCATTGATGCACCCAATGCACACTGAAAGGTGCTGCCATTTCTATCTTTGAAAGCCTCTCCTTAAACTCAAGAAACACAACAGGAAGCAGCCAGTTAGGGAATGGAGCTGAGGGTGGGTTACATCCTCTTGCTGCCAACTCCAATCACATTTCTGCAGATGCATTCTGCACCAGCTGCAGGTGATGGATCAGCTCCTTACGGAGTCCAGTACAGAGTTTGTTGTAGTAATCCCGACGCAACGTTGCCAAAGTATGCATCACGGTTACCAGGTCAGTGTGCGTCATTCCTAAGATGATAAAACTGGCTTTGATCATGTTAGCACGTGAAAGACTGGGAAGGTGTCGGTGACTAAGATGAACAAGGGGGAAAGAAGAGGGCTGATCACAGTGCACGCCTCATTCTGTGCTATGCTACATCATGTCAGTCTATCTGACAGTAGGGCAAGTACAATTGCAATGCATTGTTTTACTACCTTCATTACAATAAGGATTGAGAACTTTAAAAAAAATAAGGTTTTGATTTTGAAGAACGCAGTAAAATCTGCAGAAAGAACTTGCCATGAAACCTGTGCATTATCTGGCCCCAGACATTTCAGTTGTCCCTCTGTTACCATGTGAACATGTGACTCGTGAGGCACGGATGTCTCTGCATACATGTGTAAGAGAGCTGGGCATGGGCGACGAGTTCTATGGGCCCGTGGTGCCTGGGCATCAGGAATATTCCTGGTGCCCAGGGCACAATGGGCCCGGCTTCAGCACTGGTTTCTCCCTCGGCCCCACCTTTTGCCCCCGGGTGCCCTCCCCCCCGCGTCCCCCGGGCCATTTAAAACAGCCCGGGGCCCCCACTCATCATGGCAGTGCAGCAGAGCTGAGCGGCTTCCTGCCTGCTCGCTCCACGTGGCTGCCAGCCCCTCCCTGCAGCCCCTGTCCTGCCCCAAGCACCCCTGAAGCCAATAGGAAGCTGCGGGGGCAGTGCCTGGGGGTAGCAGCACATGGAGGCACCCCAGCCCGCCCTGCCTAGGAGTCCGAGGTAAACACCGCACCCACCCCAATTCCCTCCCAGAGCCGGCAACCCCCC